ATTCTTCGAGGAGGCAAGGAGGCGAGAAGGCTTGGCTTTAAGACCTCTAGATCTTCTCTGCGGACCACGGTTCCATTGGAGGCAATTACACAGTCTGGGGACAGAGTCTCTGTGTTGGAGCAGGAAACGTTAGGGGAGACAGAGGCTGAGGATTGGAAAGTAGCCACAACAGCCTCCTTTTGAGGCTCTGGAACAGGATATTCTCTTTGCTCAAGGATCACAACCCATTGGTCTGGCTGGACCGGGCGTAATGCCAGGCTGCTGCGCTGGAGTTTGGTGCTGCAGCCTTTTCACTTCACGATCCACTACCGCCCTGGGAAGCAAAATGGGAATGTTGACGGGTTGTCCAGACAGACAGAACTTGAGAAGTGATCCGTGAGCTCCACCGGACATCCCCAAGTTGATCCGTTGAGGATCAAACGGTGTATGCTGGCTTGTGGTTAAGGGGGAGCAGTGTAGCAGAATGAAGACCTCCAAGTACTTTCATTTATTTATATATATATATATATATATATATATATATATATATATATATATATATATATATATATACTTCCCCCTTGTATTCGCCTGTTTCATCCTTTTTCCGTCTGGGAGACGTCATACGAACAGAATTCTTTCGGCTCCCGAATGAGGACCACCCAGTACCCCATTAGAACCTTAACACCGACCACTTAATTGCGAAACTGCAAGTGCAGTAATTAATGAATGCTTCCCCTGGGTGTCCACCATTTTGTATACCCGAACACGTGGCAGACCAAAGAGTGGCTGCCATCTTGTCTCCCGAACGTGAGCAGCGGTACTTGGTTGTCAAGTGCCTGGAACTCTTTTCAGCTAGGCACTCGTGCGAACGGGCATAAAATGGGCATAAGCCGCGTGTGACCCGATAAACTTTAGTTGTACTCCCAGAACTGTGTGCCGTCCAGTTACTGGGGAGAAGGTGGGATATTTCTTTGGTGTTTTCATTGTTCCTGATTTTACTTTTGTGGATCCAGCGGAGAAGAGTCCCTAGTAGGACTAGGGCTCCGCTACAGAGACCTCCTTTCACTAACAACTGGTTCACCTGGCTGGACCTTAATTACGTGTGTCTGTTAGTTTCCAACACGCTGGAGAGTTTTGGGGGATTGGCGTGTCATATCACGTGCCCTTTGCCCTCTGCTCAGTACCTGGATATTTCTTGAAGCTGCTGAAACCGGTTGTGGTGCATCTTCAGTCCAAAGACATCCTGTGCCTCCCCATCTGGGCGATTTACTGATTTTCTGTGAAAAAAAAGGATGCCCTCTCAGCAGAGGTATGGGCAGAACTATGCTGGTGGCGACTTCACATGCAAGCCTGGAATGGCATGGGGATATCCGGACCTTCATTGTGGATTCGAATACCAGCCTCTGGGGCTGGGGAACTCATTACACGGATTATCCCATGGGAGTCCACTGACTGGACTGCAAGACCAATTTGTACTTGTATTGTCTGGAAATGATCGCTGGACCCTCTGCCATCCATACTCTAGTGAAAAGGCCTTTCCAACTTCTGTATTCTACTCCGCATGGACAGTTTTCATTGTTCCATACAGCTACTGCCTAGGTGGAATAAGATCCCAGGCCTTGTCAAAGGCAACAAAAGACCTTTACCATCCCTCAGGTGCCAACTGCATGGGGATCTTTTTGCCTCTAGGACCAACCTACATCCTCCCGAAGTACATCAGTTTGCTCCCGGATCTGGATTGAGTGGTGGTGGATGTGTTCCT